ATTTTTATCTACGATGAGGCCATGCTCTTCCATCTTTCTTCATTTGATGACTTATATATGATGTAATCAGATCATCCATTCTGTAACCCTGCAATACAAAATGATTGGAAGGTATATTACAATTGCCGACCGCCAATTAAAACCAAGTGTATGTTACAATTAAAGATCCAAGTTCAGGGAATCAAATATAAACTTGTCAAAACGTCTGACAGCAGAATTCTTTTGCTGAACCTTTTCACCTCTGATTTCCTCTTTTCATCACAAAATATTCTCATTTATAGTCCGCACTTTCCTTCAGAAGATTGGGACAAAAATAGCAAAATTTGTTGAGTAAAAAATGAAAACTGGCTCAAATTTTGTCTGTTGGCTTCAAAATTAGGGTTCATTTCCAGAAATATTGAAGAACATGGAAAAAAAAGTGCAGAAAAATTTGGGCGAGAAAGTGAAAAGGTTAATTTTTTTGTTTTGAACCAAACTGATAACACTACATTATAGAGCTTACATACAAGAAAATGCACACATGATTTTACACATTATTTTTTCGAGAAACTTACCAGTGGCGTACTGCAAGACATTTTCATCCCTTTCACAAGATTTCCAAACGTAATGTGAAAGAAATTATGACCACTACTCCAAGTTGATATTCGGGAGAAGGGATAACTGGACAGCATTGCTTTGGTCTTGATATTGTAAAGAATAACTCCACGTTTGTTGATGGCTACTAGCAACACTTCCGGCAGCTGTGACTGTGAAGTTTGCTGAAGGGGAATAAAGAGTAAAATGAGATATTAAATGAACACAAATAATTATTTAACCAATATGTCAATAAATTGCGTTATTTGGTTCATAATGTGTATTGAGAGAACCATCTACCTTGTTCGTACTGTAAAACGGGGAAACAACGAGTACTATGCATTTACAGTAATCATAATGGTTGTCGCAAGGTATGTCATGTATTTTATGTTGTACCCCGGTAATTCAATTTTGTTTTGGCCAAGTTGCAGCTCTGAAACTGTATACCGTAACCCCCCACCCCACCCCCAGTAGTCAGGTACTGTACGCATCACAAATCCAAGACTGTAAATTACTACATAGAGTGTTGTTCTCCCCTGTATTAACAAATTGGAGGATACGGTGAATGAAACTATAGGAACCTTTTCAAAGAAAGACTGGAACACTAGCTTGAATCTGTAACCCCCAAGTAAAGGATAACAAAATTTGGTAAACCCTATTTTAGACTATAAAATCAATACTGGCATGATGATTTAACCATACACTTGCCTTCCTACATATTTGTATCATTTTCTGCATTTACCCGGTATTGCTATTAACTATCTAACTTCACTAGTTCTGTCAAGTTGTGATTTTAAAAACAAACTAAATAACATTTCGACCACAAAGAAAATCAGAAATTGCTCAATATTCAAATATTTACTTTGACTTCGAAGAAGACTGATCCATAAGTTGGCCATTTATAAATAATTTTCATGAAAGCAACCTTGGCTTGTACTCGCGTCATTGTCTTCTGACCATCGTAAGCAGACTCAATATCCTGTAAAATATTCGGTCAATCGAAGGAAATGTGCCTCGTAATATAGTTATGACAATTAATAGTGCAACAGAAAATCGATTTCAATTCAGCAGTGAGTGGTCAAAAAATTGTCATGGTTATATACCGTGACTTGGTTATGGCACTGTATACATGATCGAAGCATAGAGCTGTATATACACATATATTAGAGGGTAGCACCTGCGCACACGCGGGAATTGAGTCCCAAGCGACGATAACAACACATGCTAATAACGCAAAGGCTCATGGGTAGAAGCTTGTTTGTAAACAATGACAGCTATGGCCATCCGACGCATGCGCAGGTGACAGCTCCAACCTTTTAAATGACTGATTGACAGGGACTGTGGATGAATACAGTAAAATGTTTGGTTTAGCATTAGCTATAATTACCTTTCTCCAGCATTCTGCATTCTGTTGTGCAATGATATCTTGTGGTATGTATTCATTCACATTGTTACTATGAACAAATAAAACGGTGGGACATTTTTTGAAAATGTACATCAAGGTGTCAATTATTTCCAATCATCAGCTGTCACTAAACACATGAAAAAGAATTTAAAATATATGCAAGTTTGAAATGAAAAAAA